GGGAGTGGTCCACAAGGTCACCTGCTGATCCTGTGCCATAACTTGCCACGCGCCTTTTGGCACTCATCCATGCCACCCTCACATGGGATGGCACATCTCTCCTCCTCCCAGCCCTGGGGAGAGTCCCAGTCCCGCCCAGAGTGCAGAATGGCAATGCTCCATTTCCATGGTGATGGTTGGTAGTGTGACAACAAAGGACAGTCTCTGCACTGCAGGGATCATCACACAGGACAGCAGGCTGGAGAGGAGAGTGGCTGCGGCGGTGGCTGCAGTCCCCACCTCAGCGAGGACACACAGTCGTGGGCCAAGTACCTGCCACTGAAGTTTTCCCCTCTTCTTCCTGCTCCAGCGTGAAAGTCACCCGCTGGGATGCAGTGGCCTCGTTCTATTCTGTATGGAGCCAGTGAGTTCCTGCATTTACACTGTTATAACCTGCCCTGCTCCGAATGCCTTCGTAGGACACACAGCTGCCCTGCCAAGGATGCTTTTCCTAGAGCGTGGTGCCTGCTTTCCTGCCTTGTCTTGCCTGGGTAAAGGAAACATCACCCCAGCTCTCTGACCACAGCTCCTGCTCCAGGCATTCACAGGAATATTTCTGTCCCTGCCTTGCTTAGTGTTCAGAGATATGAAAAGCTCAGAGTTCGTAAATCACCCCAACAAGGACATAACCTTGATTCCCTGTGCAATACCGATAGATTACCTAACAGGAGGCATGCAATGGAAGAATGGCTCCATTTGTATAATTCTGTATTAAAAATCAGCCTATTCTACAGTTAATGCTCCTGTGAAGTGTCTCCACAGGCACGGGAGAAAGGGGCTGATGCTGGAGAGCAGAAAAGGACCTTATGAAAGGGACTGCACTTGAGTGAGCCTTTGAGGCTTTGGGGAAGTGGGTTAGTGCTGACGGGTGGTGTTTTGATGTTTGTCAGAGCCGTGATCCCAGTTAATTTTCAGACACATTACCAGAGCTGGGGGGTTCTGGGAGCACAGCAGGTGCAGTGGATTAATCCATGTCCTGTCTGCAGTATCAGAATTGCCTGAGGTGCTGCCGCCCCAGGACTGGGGCAGGGGTTGTTCTGTCCCATTCCATGCTGGATGCTCCTGCTTTCTCTCCCTGCATGTGGAGGTTGGAACCATGTGGTGGGAGCAGCCAAGTCCCACAGCAGCCTACTCCCCACTGCCAAGGACCACGGTGAGCTCACATCCTCCAGCATCCTTGAAATTAATCTCTCTCTCTCTCAAGTGCCAACTATCCTCCTCTTCAAAGCACATGGCCGCACCTGGAAAGATTTAAGAAGGTGTTTCATACAGCAGAGGACTTCTGAAAGGTGTGTTGGGTGGGGAGGCTGTGGTGGCTCCAGTGCAACTTTCGCTGTTCCATCACCTTTGGAACTGGGATGGGCTCGGATGGGCTCAGGAAATAGTCCTGGAGTGCCTGATCCGTGTCATTAGCCCAGCAGTTTCCTTGAAATTTGCCCTCATGCTTCTTGCAGGTGAATATTTGTAGGAGTTCCATTTCCTGCGTGCAAGTGCAGCTGCCTCACCATCCATGGAGCACAGGGAGCGGATTTGTGGCTGGTGGGAGCCAAGGCCTTGGATGAGGAGATCAAGGACAGGATTTCATTTTCCCAAATATATCTGCTCTGCGTTTCTTTATCTAACCCAGTTTTGGAGTTTTATTGAGTTTTTCCTGGAGTTCAAACAGTATTTTGGGATAACATTCCCATTCACCTCCAAGATGGGAAAAGAAGTAATGTGAAAATTGCCCACGCTCCTCAAATTTGTTTGCAAAATAGGTTGTGTGCTTGTAGGGGGGTGAGGAGTAACCAAAGCCCGGATTCCCGAATGAGGAGCGTAACCACAGCCCTGCCTGGTGCATCCCTTTGGCCCACGTGAACCCCCAGCCAGGGCAGGCTCCGTGCCCCCAAACTGAGGCAGATGGATGCTATGTGTGGCTTTGGATGATGTGTTCCCTCCTTGGGGCCAGAGCCCCTCCTTGGGTGCAGTTAGGGAGTTATCCCATGCACTGGGAGCAGCACAGCGTCCTCTGCATCTGCTCTGCTGTCCCTGAGGAGCAGCTCCTGCCATTGGCGAGGTGTTTGAGCTGTTTGATGTCTCGGCAAAGCAGGAACGCCCTCCCGGCCTCCGAGCAGCGGTGACTTTGTGCTGGCGCTCCCGGGAGGAGCGCGGTGCTCTCCTGCCTGCTCAGGCGAAGGGAGGCGGAGGCGCGGGGACTCCCGGGGCGCTGCGCCGGGCCGGGCCGTGCTGTGCCAGCCGCAGCGAGCTCTCCTGGGACAGCCCAGGTTTTCTGGGGCAAGGACAAGGAGGCAGGAGATCCGGGCGGGATATAGCCCCGCTCCCTGGGTGTCCTTGGGGACGTGTCACCCTCTCTGCCAGCCTGGGCAGGGTGCTGGTGTGGGGCGGGGGTGGGGATGGCAGGGGACCGGGTGGTCCTGCCGCTGGCCACGCCACGCGCTGCCGCATCCATCCCCGCCGCCGCGCCGGGCACATCACGCTGCGTTGCCAGGACAACGGCAACTCCTACACGCTGCTATTTATTCTGAAGGACACTTGCTCTTATCTGTTGTTGCAAAGCCCTCAGAAGATCGCATGCCACGCAAAATTCCTCCGAGGTAACTGGACTCGCTGCTTCTGTCCCTGAAGCCATCTCCTGGGGACATGCCAGCCAGCCTGGTGGCTAGGAGGACACTCCTGGGGTGATAGTCCTTTAGGTGGCATCACTTGAAGGGACGTTGGTGGGAGGGTGACCCAAGCTGTCCTCGGGGCAGAGTGGGATCTGCCCCATCTGGGTGTCCCCTACTGTGTCCATCCTCATCCCAGAGCCTCTGTTCTGGGGAGCAGTGGCAAGAGTGAGGGACACTGGTGCTGGGTGTCACCGGCGCTGCCTGGCCATGCTGGGACACAAGTTTCCAGCATGACCCAGGGGAAGACAAGGGTTGGATGTTGCCTCTGCCCACACATCCTCCTGATGCAGCTATGAACGATGCAGCCACGTCGGGCAGGTTCTGCAGGAGCAAGCCCCTGCAAGTTCATGCTGCGATTGCTGCAGCCTGAAATGTCACAAGGAGACAGGAAGAGATGGAAGCAGGGGGAATATCTGTTTTTCCTGTGAGGTGCCAATCCCAAGCACCAAGGACTGGCACTTTGTCTTTCAGAAGTTTCCAGGCAGTGGCTGGAATGCAGCGAGCACCAAGTTTGGGCTGGGCACATCTTCCCTTGCTCTGTTCAGGAGCTGTTCATAAAAGTTCTGAGTGTGAGCAACCTAGAGAGCTGGGAAGGGGATGAGGTCTGGGGGTGGACACAGAGGGTATGAGAGGTGGCACCTGGGGTGAGTGACGTCAGGAGGTGCCCAGCACCTTTCCTTCCTTGCAAGGAGACATTTCAGGTGATGTTGGGGAGTTGGGCAGAGGCTGAAATCAAGCCTGACATGCTACAGGAGTGATCCTGAGCATTGCAAAGGTGAGTCTGTGCTTGATGATCCGGCTGGAGCATGAGCTTGTGGCTGCTCACCAGTGGAAGCACAGCATTGCCTACAGCACGTGGGGGACACTCTTCGTGCTGCCACCACTCTGTCGGCCTCCAAAAAAACCCACCACCACGGTTTGGGTGGTTAGTGGTTTTTTTGAAGCCTTGAAATCCTTCCTCCCCCAGCCTGAACTATTTTGGTTTCTGTTGTCTGTTTCTGGCTCTTCCCTTTCTCCTTCTGCGCTGTTTCCTTGCGTTGCCTTCTCCCTCCCCAAAATAAATGTTGTTACGCTTTGAAAAAATACCCAATTAGGAAAAAAGCAGAGATCCTCTGAGCAGAAAAAGCCTGTGCCTGGGAGTATCCAGGTCAGCTCCTTTAGCTTTGCTTGCTCACGCACGGAGGGAGTGTACAAATGCTTCTGTCAACCAGATGCACATTCTGTCGTGCTCCCAAGGACTGTGCGGGCGCTGCTGCAGAGGATTAGCCCGTTTAGCCATGTAAAGCTCTCATTAACTCGTGCTGAGTTTGACAAAAGTCTTTCTAGAGTAAAAGCTGAGTAAAATGGAGTAAAGATTTTTGGGTTTTGGCCTAAAGATTTTTTTTCCCAGTATGGGGAAAGAAAGGCAACAAAAAATTGCCTATCAGAGATTTTCTTGCCACTTTACATGGGGCAGCATCGTAGAGGAGATAAGAGGGGAGCAGAGCCTCGGTGTGATGCCACTGGGGATGGGAGAGGGCTGTGACGTGATGGTGACATGAAAGCAAAATTGTAAAAATTGTAACTGCTGAAGCGGCCAGCAGCTCGGGGGTGTTCCAGCTGCTCTGTGGCAGAAAGGGCAGCAAGAGGGGCTGCTCCTCCTGCCCTCCCTGTGCTGCAGGATCATGTTCAGCTTGGGTGCCCCACGCCGTGGGAGGGGATGTGCTGTGCTCCATGGGAGGATGTTGCTGCTGCAGTGTGGGTGTCTGCCAGAGTGGGAGATGGGCTCCATGTGCGAACACCAGAGCCCACGGACTCGTCTGCTCCAGCCCTTTGAAGGATTCATCATGCTGCCTGTGGGCTTGGGTTGGGCTCTCTGATAACCCTGCATCTCAGTGTCCCCGGAGTGAAAGCTTGTGCTGCTGGAGTTCTGCTGGGCTGTCTGCTTTGGATAATTCACACAGAAGGGCTGAGTTTGGGCAAAGCAGGCACTGGCCACTCCTCCAGGGTGTTTCCTGGTGAAACCTATCATCAGGTCATTCCCATCATTCCCAGACCAACTGAAAAGTCACGGATGCGAATGGGGATCCTCAGCCTGCCATGTTGGTGGCGGTAGTTTTCAGGGGGAGAGTGTGCAATGTGCCCTACGATGCCATTTTAGGGGACTCTGGCCCGAGAACCCGAGAGGACAATGATACCCCGTGAAGCTGGGGGATATTTTGGGTGGCTGGGCTCGAAGATCTAAGGTGTGCCATACTGAGAGGGAGAGCGGGGTTGCCCCACTGCCCTTCTAACACGCTCCCTGTCTGTCCACAGGTCAGGTTGCCCGCTCGGAAGCCATGCTTGGATTTTAATAGCCATGTTCCACCTAGCCATGGACCTTGCTAGCTGCCAGCCCGCAGCCACCGGGACTGGGGGGAGGCTGTCGCCGCGGCCGGCGCTCCGGCACAGACTGTCCCGTGGCTCGCTGTGGGGCACGGGGAGCGGGGAGGAGGAGCTGCAACGCCCCGGCCCCCCTTGGACCTGCGCCCCCGCTCCCCCTGTGCAGAGACCCCGCTCCCGCCGGCCGCCCCCCGCTGCCCCCGTGCCCGCCGGCAGCCCCCTGCGCCGGCCGCGCTCCCGGAGGGGCCGGCGGCACCTGCGCGGCCGCGGCTTCGTCCCGAGGGACGGGCGGCCCACGGCGCTGCCCGAGGTCATCGTCTGGGGCCCCACGGGCGAGGAGGACTCCCTGGAGAGCAGCACGCTGCCCAGCGCCTTCGCCACCGCCACCACCACCGCCGCCGCCACCACCACCGCCACCACTGCCGCCGCTGTCACCGCTGTCACGGCTGCCACGCCGCCCCGAGTGCCTCCCAGCACCGCGGCTCCCGCGCCCGCCGGGGACGTGTCCCGCAGCAGCCCCGGCCGCACCAGCACCGCCGAGCCGGCCGCCGGCCACAGCAGCGGAGGCAAGGATGCTCGGCCGCCCCGTGGGCTGGGAGACAGCACAGGTAGGGTCTGCCGGGGGCCGGGGAGGTGGCGGCGACATCAGAGGGGTGGCAAGGACATCAGGAGGGGTGTTGGGGACATCAGGAGGGGTGGCGGGTCCTGGAGCAGGGCGTTCACCCAGTGTCCCGGTGGCAGCGCTGCCTGGGACAGGAGTTAGTGTGACATTAAACAAGCGCTCGGAGGAGAACGGCAGTGCTGATTATCGCTTTTATCCGAGGCGTTTTCCAGCCACTTGCTGTGTTTTCCCATTACAGTCTCCATCCACAGCCCATCTCCCATAATCGCGCTGAGCACCACGCTCGGCACAGCAATGCCTTCCCCCAGCGCTGGCTGCTGCGTGGACATGGATGGGAAAGCTGCTTCCCATTTATTGCAAATTATATTTGTTATTGCTGATATTAAACCGTGGGATACCGGTGGATAGTTTACAGAATTTACTCACTGTGCATCGACTGCTTTGAGCCCACTGCGATTTTCTAGTCGAAATGAAAAGGAATTTTATGGCCTAATCTTAATCCCAATTAATTTATCCAGCCTGCCCTGCTTGGCAGAAAGAGACGATGCAACCAGGATGTTGTTCCTGACTTAAAGGAGTTATTTATAGCTGAGAAATAACTCCCAGCCTACACACCTTCAACAAAACGCTGGATAGATCAGCAAGGGAGTATCGATAAGGGCTGCAGCTTTTGCTGCTCTCTGCATGATGAGAGCAGCAGCCTGGTCTCCCTAGACCTGCCTTGGTCAGTGCCTCTGGCCTCAGTGGCATAATCCAGTCCAGGAGAGTGGGGTCCAGTGGACTTGTTGCCATCAGCCAGCTGCAGGAGTCCCTCTGCCGGCACCAGCTGTGGGAGGCATGTGCAGATCTTGGCATGTGCTGGGACTCTGGGACCTACTGGAGTGGGCTGCCTTGTTTAGGCAAAGTTGAGCTGACAGTGATGCCACCCACTCACCAGTGCCACCACTGCTGTCCTGCGTGGCCACAGAACAATGGGAACTGCAGCCCCGGCAGCTCCCAGGGGGCCAACTGCTTTAATCTGCAGGCTTTAGCTCTCATTAGGGGCTTTCTCCAGGATCGGAGTTTTTGCTAATTAACTTCTCTTCAAGCAGTGAATGTGATAAATTCCTTCCCGGGTCTAAAGGCCTTGTTTGATCCCAGCTCATCCACCCTCAATTGAAAAGCTCCTGGGCTCCAGATGAGCTATTCCTTCCAGTGCTGGGCTGAGCACCCAAGAAATCTCTCAGCACGTTCCCAGTGGGAGCTCCATGCCCCTGCTGTGCCTCGGGACAGCGTTTTGGGAGCGAGCAGCCAACACTGTCTCAAAGCAGGGTCCGTGCCAGTGCCAGTTTTGCTGGTGCGGCGCCTGTGCGAAGCCGTGCAGCTTCCCAGCCCTGCTCCGCTCTGTTATATAAGCTGTAGCGGCTGGAAGTGTTTGTTCTCTGCTGGGAAAAACATATGGCTACAAATGAGGATGAGGTAACTCGCCTGTACGGTTTATTTGCCTCAGCGAGCATTGCCAGTCCCTGTCCGGTGAGGCGCCTTGATGGGAGCCCGGGGTGGGCACGGTGCTGCTCTCACAGCCTGTGATCCCTCAGCTGTGCCCAGCACATGCCTGGGGGGTCAGGGTGGAACCACCTGTGTGTGGCACCCACAGGAGCTGGGGTCACTCTGGGAGCTGGCAGAGCTGTCCCAGGGCTCCTGGAGCCACGCAGATCCCCTGTACTCGGTTCCATTGGAGCAGGTGGCTGCTGTTGTGCTGCTGTCGTGCTGCTGTTGTGCTGCTGTTGTGCTGCTGCCCCCATGTCCCTCCTGTGCTGTGTCCTTGTATGCCTCCATGCTTTGCCTCTGGGTCTCTGGTGATTCTGTGGGACCATGGGGTCCTTGGGGTGCACACAGGGTGGTAAAAAGAACCACTTCACTTCAGCAGAGGCAGCAGTGCTCACTGAGATGAGCAGTGGGAGCAGCTCTCCTCTGTCAGATCTTCCTCTCGCCCCCCTTCCTCCTCGCTGAGGAGCGAGAGAAAAAAGGCAGAAACAATGCCTCCGTGAGTCGCTGACAGCAAAAACAAGCTTTAAAAAAATTCCCCTGGAATAGGAATTACTCGGCTCATAGGCAGGAGAGGCAGCAGAGGAGTGATGGCAGGTAATGCTTGGGATGAGAGCAGAGGCTGGCGCGTGCCCTGGCCCGGTGGGTGCTGCCGTGGGGGTTCAGGTGACCTGAGGCTCAGGTGTTCCTGTCCCGGTGCCACCCCTGCTGCATGGCACAGCACTGCTGGCATCAGCTGGGCATGCAAGATGTTCACCCAGGCGTAGTTTATGCTTGTGCTTTTCAAAAATGTGCTTCCTTCTTCAGGGCTGTCATAATCATTTTACTCCAGAGTGGGGAAAGAGGAATAATTAAAATTCCAGCATGCTGTAAGTGGGAAGGGCTGTGAGGAGCTTTCACCGGGCACTCTCCACGTGGGCTGGGCTCCTCCACCAAGGCAGATCATCCCCAGGTCCTGCAGCCTCAGCCAAAGCAGAGAAGAGTGGAATGAATCAGAACTGTCAGAGCAAGGCACTCGCTGGTTTTGTCCGAGGCTCCTTTCAGGAGCTTTAGGATAAAGCTGTCTTTAATTAAACCTTTAAGTGCTTTATAAGGCAGAAAACTCCATGTGCTGTCTGCTGCTCTTAGTGGTGTTTGATGGCTGGTCGCGGCGCATTTGGCACCGTGCTCTGTGAGCTTGTGGCAGAGCTGGTGCTCAGGGGCACTCCCTCACCAGAGCTGGAGTTCTCCTGGGGGAAGGAGGGGGCCATGTGGGTTTTGGCAGCTGGATCTGAGCTGGTGGTGGCCCCAGGCCACTCACCACCCCCTCCCCACCTCCAATCAGCAGTGTGCCAGGAATAAATAATAATAGAGGTGTTGCTTCCCACTGGTGATGACCCTGCCTCCAGAAAAAGGGTGCAGTAGAGGGGTGCTGGAGGCGAGGAGATAGTAGATGCAAAAGGCTTCAAAGGAATTAATTAAAGATAAAATGTGTTTAAAAGAAAAGCCTGGGCTGTGAGGATGGAGTTGCCTCTTTGATCTGCTGTGCCAAGGCGTGGGGAAATGCCGCAGCTGAGGGACAGAGAGGAGGTGAAGGAGCTCGATGGTATCTCATGGGCTGGCACCACCGGTTACCCTTCCTGGGAGCTGCCCGAAGGATCCCTTGTAGGGCTGTGCATCAGCTGCAGTTCTCCTGAAGGGTGGAAGATGATGGTGGAAGCAAGGAAGGAGCATGGTCATCAGCTGAGCTCTCTCTGTGAGGGAGACAGGACACTCCCCGGATGTGCGGATGGCGAATGTGCCTGTGCACATCCTCCCACGTGCATCTCAGTGAGCCAGAAACTCTCCTCTGCTGCTCTCCAAGTATTTATTTCTCGGTGATATTTGCTATAACACCTGAGAAGATAAGTCCCAGTCTCTTTAGCATAAGCCTCCAGGATCTTCCTTCTTGGCAAGAACATTTCGCAGCAGCAGCAGCAGCAGCGGGAGGATGTTTTCCTTCTTTCATCAGTCCAGCTCAAAATACCAGGAATTTACCAGGAACCTTGGTGGTTTTTTTGCTGAAAAGCTGCATTTTCACCTCAGGATGACTAACTTCCCTGGGCTGGGTTTCAGAGAGATCACTGATTTACCAAGTGGAAAACCAAGCAGCTTTGCTGACCCCAGATTTGCCAAAAAGAAGGTCCTGGGAAGCAGACCGGAGGCAATTTGTGGTGTGGTGGTTTGGGCAACAGAGGCTGTGTACTGTAAAAAGGCTTTTCAAGAACGCTTCTGCTGTGTCTCCTCCCCGCATCAGACCCTTGTTGCTTTTGTCAATTATTTTCCTTACAAGCTCTTAACCAGCAGTAGGTTCATGTTACGGCCAAATCTGGCTGATCCCCCCTGGGAAAGGTCGGCAGTGGCAGCAGGGAGGCCACACCACGCTCCTGATTGAATTGTTCTTTCCACAAGCGGCTTTATCAGGGGATGAGGTTTTTGGGGCTCAGATGTGATTTCTGATCGCTGGGGAAGCTGTAAAGCCTCTTCAGTCCAGCCGCTTTGCCCCAGCTTCACCACAATGCTCAGGAGGAGGCATTGGCATCCTGGTGCTCAGGGCATGTGAGAACATAGAAAGGAGACTCGTGGCAGGGATGAGGACGGGATGCTGAGGAGAGGGAGATCCACACAGTGTATGTGTGGGAAGAGACTGGGGGTAGCCATATCCGGCCCGTACAAGTAACTCCAGTTTTCTCCCTTATAAATGAAATAGAGCTGTTTTCTCATTTTTCTAATTTTATGCAGCTTCAAGGCCTTGACGAGGGTCTTCAAAGAGTTGCAGCTCGTAGCTGTTTTTATTGGGAAAATGAAAAATACAGGCTCCCTAACCAGAGCTGTTGAAATAAAGGCCTTGGGGGATAGAGGTTCTCTTTGTTTTTAATTAAGAGCTTATATCTCCTGTTCGCTGCCATTGCGCGCTCCTGCAGTAGCAAGACATTAGTCTCAAATGGATTTTCTCATGGAATTAATTCCATTGATGCAGAGCTGTCCGGGAGCCGTTTCAAAAGGTGGCCAGAAAGGCCAAACCTCAGCACTTTCATCTCAGCAGCAAATATATGGTCTTTAAAATAACAGATAAAAAAAAAAAGTCCTGGCATTGGCTTGCTCTGAGAAGACTGGGGTTTTGCCCGGGATGTGGGGAATCAGGAGCTGGGTTGTGCTGCCTGCTGGGATTCTGTGGCCCCTCTCCCCCCATCAGGGGGATTAGAGGCCCCAGTGATAGCGTAGTGCACACGGACGGCACAAGAGTGGAAAAACCCAGAGATATTTCAGCATTTCCGAGGGTTCAGAGAGCGCCTTTGAAGAGCTTTCCCTCCTGGCAGGCGGCACGCGGAATTCTGCTGCACTAGCAGAAGCGCAGCGGCTTGGACACACTTTCGGTTCCATTAAATACTTCTCCTGTAATTACCCTCTAGTTAAATGGTCACTGCGTCAAATTGCCTGGTAAAAGCCTTGGCAGGGGGAGCCCTCGCAGGGCTGAGGCGCTCGCAGGTGCGGGGGCCGGTGCTGGGTGTCCCTCCCCGCCGCTGCCCTCCCTGCAGCTCCCTGTTTCCACAGTTAATAACGTGTAATTACGTGGCCGCCGGGTTCCGTGACCCGCTGGGATCGGAGCTTTTGCCATGGAGATGAGCAAACAAAACCCAGGCGCTGTAATTCCTGCTCCCAGGGTCTCTGTCTCTGGGGGCACAGGCTCTCATGGGGAGTAATGCCTGTGCCTGGCAGCTTCCTACACCAGAGGAGGAGGACTTTGCTCTATGAGCTATTGATTTTTCCTCCATCCAATTGGGCTTCTAGGGCTGTGTCTAAAATACTGCTTTGCCCTAGGCAGCATCTCTGTCCATCTCACCTCACCCACCAGGGTGCTTTATGTTCCTTACAGGGCATTTCCCTCTCAAAGGGTCCCACCTATTAACCCCACCCCTCACAGATTGGATATTTGCTTGATCTTGTTCCATATGGCTCTACATTCTTCAAGGGCCTTGAGGAAAGGATTTATTTGTAAATTAAGAATAAAGACCTGGTAGCGTTTATTGCAGCAGGTATTGCTGTAGGGCTTCCCAGGGAACCATCACGGGCAGGTCCATTCCCTCTGTCCAACACCACCATTGAGACAAAGACCTCCCGTCCCCTTCAAATCCTCCTGGCTTCTGGTGCAGAATTAATACATGATGCAAAGGAACTTTGCTGTGCCGGTACATATGGCAACTTATGTGTGTGATGGAGTCTAAAATTATCCAGCCTTTCTTAAAATCCATGTGTCCTGCTCTGAGGAGCTGCCATCCCTACCAGTGCTCAGCCACCTGCAATCTGTTCTGCCTGTGCCTTTCCCATTACGTAAATGCAAGGATTAATTGCATCGTTAGGTTCTCCCGCGGCCCTGCTGCCACTGCCTCAGCTCCCGGTGTTGAGGAAGGTCTCATCCCCGACTCCACTTCTGTTTTCAAAGGAATCGGGCACTGGGCTGGTTTGATTTTATTTTTAGAGTCTTTCCTTTTATCTTTTTCAGCAGCGTCCCACTGGGAGCTGCTCCAAGAGTGCCGTGCAGGATGCGGCCGGGCTGGCTGCTGCCAGGGTGGGCGTCACTCCTAACCTGGCACGCGTGGGCACGAGCTGCCACCACTCCTCGGGCCCGTCGGGACACGCTCCCATTGTCACCACCCTCTGGGAGCTCATAGCGTGGTATTATGATATACAGAAGTATTTGTCTGGACTTCACCTTCGGGAGGTGGGGTGCCTCCCACTGTGGCATTTTCCCTGTGAATTCCCCTGGGAGATGAAACCCAGAGCTCTGGCTCTGGCTGGAATTGGCTGCTGCCCACCCTGCCAGCATGAGGATCACAAGTGGATCCTTCCCCATGAGTGGTGGTTGCCCCAGTGCTGCCCCATGGCCCCCAGGCACCCCCAGCTCCAGCTGAGCCATGGCCCTGGCACTGACACCATCCTTGCCACAGACGGATACAGATATATATATAAAACTGCTTATTTTCCTGTCATTCTAAGACTTATTTATTTATTAAAACTACCATCCATCAGGAGCTGCAACATCTGTTTGTGAAAAATAGCACATCCTTGGGCTGCAGCCAGGAAAAATCATTTCATTATGAAATTGCAACTGTAAGGCAGCACAAAATCACAAACATAGTGTACAGCGAGCTGCTTTTGTTTCCAAACTGCTCATTAGGAATGATCCACGAGCCAAAATGATACCCCGTGGAAGGTGAAGAGGGGGAAATGAACCCACCCAACCTGCAAAGCGAGCAGCCGTCAGTGCTGTAATTATTATCCCTGGTGAATCCCGCACCCAGTGCAAGGCTGCACTCGTCTCCCTTTCCATCCCAGAGGGGAGACGTCTTCACTTCTCTTCCGTTCTTCGTGCCTAATTCGGGCTGACAAGGAACATACTTGAGAGGATAGGAAATGAGGAGCCTGGCTTACAGATTATTTGTGTAAGGCAGGAGAGAGGATTGCGGCACCGCTGCCGGGGGCTGTGTGTGGCCCGGCGCTGTGAAGGGCTGGGAGGGGGTGGTGGGGGGCTCTGTGGGGAGGGGGCCCCTCAGTTCCCATCCCCACTGTCTCTTTTCTTCTGTCTGCAGGTCTGGCAGTTCATCAGATAATCACTATTACAGTGTCCCTCATCATGGTCATAGCTGCGCTGATAACAACTCTTGTCTTAAAAAACTGGTAAGGTCCCTCCTGCTCTGCTTGGCTTTGGGGGTGGCGTGGGGTGGGGACAGGGTGGGGATGGAGGTGCTCATTCTGCTGCAGGCGCCTAAGCCCGTGGCACCTGCCAGGATAGTTTTGGAAAGATATTGCAGGAGAAAATGGGGCGTTTACACCAAAGGGTGTGTGAGGTTGGTGCATCAGGATTCAGCTGCACCCCCGCAGCTTCCCCACCTCACACCACCTGGGCAGTGGCTTTGGGGACCAGGATGTGGCTGGGGCTGGGTGGACAAGTCTCATGGGATACATGCACATTGCTGCTCCGGGGCAGAGTGCCTCAGCACAATCCCACCTGGAGAGGTCAGAGCCGTGTGTTGGGCCACAGCGGGTGTTCCCAGGATCTGCCCAGTGCCGGCAGCAGCTCCTCCACTGCCTTCCCTAAGGAGCTTTGATGCTGCTCCTAAAATCCCCAGCCTGGCTTGGCAAGAAGCAGCTGCATCTCCTGCCCTTCCCTGGGACCCCAGGGACGGAAGGGCACCTTCGAAGCCCCTCAGGTGCCGTGGTTTGAAGCATGCCCCAACCCCCAGGGCGCTGCTGTGCTCCTCCAGCTTCATTTGCTCCCATTTATTCCACCAGTGTGGCTGGGCGTATGGCAAAATAGGTTAGCTTTTGCTCCAGGCGCTCCTCACTTTACCTATTTTCCCAGGGAAACTGGCCTACTTTGAGGTCAGCGTTGCTGGCATAACGACACGGCTGCAGCACGGGGCTGGGGGAGAGCGGCCGGTGGCTCTCCCCTCTGGGCTGGCCGAGCTCTGCGTGGGTGCTGCAGCAAATCGATTCCTGCAGCCAAGAGGCAATTACAATACCAGGTTGACGAGGAGCCTGCTGGCTAACTGGGATGAGAGGAGAAGCCCTTCGCAGGGCTATGGAGGCATCTTCATCTTGGCAAAGCTGTAATGCTGAGCAGCAGCTGGCTGAAAGTGCTGAGGTTCTGTCCCCATAGCTGAACTTGCTTTGGGGAGCAGCCAGTGACGCTCCCTCCTGTATCTCAAGTGAGATTTAATTCACTAAACTTCCCTGGTTGCCACAGTGTCTCAGTGAAGGGGCAGGGAAAATAGTTTATAAAACACTTGTGGGATTTGTCTCCAGTCGCAGCAGTGAGCGGTACGAGTCATTGATCCGGCTGACCACAGCTTGGCAGAACAGCTCAGTAACTGCTGCTGAAGCCAAAAAGGGGAAAAAATAAATCCAGTGATCAGTGTAGAATAGAAATGCTTTACAGTAAGTAAAATTGAGAAATCACCAGAGAAAATCCTCAGTAGGGGAGTGTGGGCAGCACCCAGGTGTGACCCAGGTGAAGGAACTGTAGCTGGGAGTTTGCTCAACTTGAACCAAATTGCTTGGGTTCACTGGGTGACCCTGGGGTGCGTGTGGGTGCTCCATGGCAGGGCTGACCCACACCACACACTCTGGCCCCGACCCCAAGTGGGGACACAGTCGCCATCCCCGTCCTTTGGCTGGCATTTGTCCCCCTTGAGCAGGACGGGTGAGTGATGGCTGCATGCCAAGACAGCGTCCTTCTTGTCACTGCTCCTCCTGCACACGTGCTGTGGGGAGACAGCAGTTGGTTTCAGGCTGTCTCTTTTGGTTGCATCAACCAGAGCAGAGCTGGCAGTGCCCGCTGCTGGCAGATGCTGCCACCCCGGCCAGCGCTGCTCCTGGCAGAGCCCCACGCTCCTGTCCCCAGGGGTGCCCCTCCACAGACAGTGCTGGCATCCCCAGCTCCCACCACCCTCGGAGCTGCCACCTCCCAAAACTCCAGCATTCTGCGAGGCGCTGTCAATCCCATCTGGAAAAAGTGGCATCTTAATTAAATCAGTGTCTAGACCCTGAAATAGGACCAGGCTGATTGAGGGCGGCTCCTGTGAGCTGGGGTTCTCCTCCTCTCTGACATGCTGAGCCAGAAGTGTTGTGCAGCCACGAGATCCTGATGAAGCCTCTAGAGCTGGAGGAGCCCCTGGAGAGCAGGACTGCCCTGCCAGCCATCCCTCTGCTGTGTCACACCAGGTCCTGAGCTCATTTATCCTGAGAAATTCCAACCTGTTGGTGTCTCCCAAATGGAAAGGGCTTCACTTCATTGTTCTCACCTACATATTTTCACTTAAGAAAAGGCTTTTGCTTCCTGCAGGTACAAATGTGTGACTCATTAAGTCATTCCTCTGATGGGAAAAAGCTTGTGTCTAAAATGTAAATTTGATTCTTAAAAAAAATGCACCGAGCCAAATGACTGCTTGTGGCTGATCTTTCCAATTCTGAATTGGAATTGGAATTTCTGAATTCTAATGTAGTATTGAACAATCTGTAATGACCGGTCAATCAGGTCAGTTCCCTTGCCAAGTTTCAGGGATACACTGTGCCTCCTGCCCCTTCTGCTTTAGCCTTTCAGACGGTAACAGACTTATAAAAATGATAGAGGGCAAATTTTTACACAGACAGATAATGGGATGGGACAAGGGGAATGGTTTTCAACTAAAGGGAAGACTTAGATTAGATCTTAGGGGAAATTTCTTCCCTGTGAGAGTGGTGATGCCCTAGCACAGGCTGCCCAGAGCAGCTGTGGCTGCCCCATCCTTGGAAGTGTCCAAGGCCAGCTTGGACAGGGACCAGTCAGGACCTGATCTAGTGGAAGGCATCTCTGCCCGTGGCAGGGGGATGGAACTGGAGGATTTTTAAGGTCCCTTCCATCCCATGATTGTCTGATTCTCTCTCCCCCCCGCCCAGCTGCGCGCAGAGCGGGCGCCCACGGCGCAACAGCCACCAACGCAAGCTGGACCAGCAGGAGGAGAGTTGCCAGAACCTGACTGACTTCGCCCCCGCTCGCGTGCCCAGCGCCCTCGACATCTTCACCGCCTACAACGAGACGCTGCAGTGCTCCCACGAGTGCGTCCGGACCCCCGTGTCCGTCTACGCAGAGGACACGTTGCACTCGCCCGGGGATTATAAAACCACCTTCAATGGAAACAGGTGAGGTGGGCGCCGTCTTTTCCCTGTAGGTGGGGTGTGCCCTCCCGCTGTGCTGATGGGGCCCCCTGATGCTCAGGGGTGACCATCTTGGAGCATTTGGCAGAGCCGCCTACTTTTTGGGTGCTCACCCACTCATAGTTCAGTGTGGGACCGGCCCCTGATCCCCAGTCCTGGCCGTGAGGCTGGGTGGGTGCCACAGCAGCCCCTGGCCCTGCAGGGCTGGGCGAGCTCAGCACCACACAGTGTTCAGTTCGAGCTGCTGCTGCTGCTGCCAGCACATAAAATGCCACTGGAGCCATTTTTGCAGCGCCCGTGCTGTCTCCTCAGTGGCATCGGCTGCAAACAAGCGGGTGATTAATGGAGGAGCAGGCGGAGGAGAGCCAAATGAACCGTTTGGCTGCTGTGAAATGACGGCACAGCACTAACAAGGACCATCAATGGCAGCCAGGGGATGTGGCCGTGCTCTGCCAGCCCCTTGCCTGCCCAGAGGGAGGGGATCAGGAGCGATGGGGTTGGGAGTGATGTTTCCCACACTGCAGGCTGTCTCCAGAGTTCTTTCACTGGGTGCTGGTGTGGTTTCACCATATGGTAAATGTGTGTTCCCATCAGAGGTAGAGGGGAGAGAGGAAGAGAGTTTTGAGGGAGAAAATGAGCAGCTGATGCTCCAGGCAGCCTCGAGGAACCACAACATGTGTGGCAGCCACAACCCATGTCTGGTTGCCCCAAGGACAGGTCTGGAGCCAACAACTTCATTGATGCTTTTTCAATCAGCATCTCTTGTGTGTATGTGGGGTTCTGCTCATCTGAATTTTCCAGGGTTTCTTCACATCCTGGAAGGTGGAGAACTGGCAGGGATTGTCACACCATTTTGCTGGGTGTTCACAAGCCTTGGTTTGATATGAACTGCAGCCAAGTGACTGAGAGTGCCTGTGTTCTGGCTGGCAGAGATCACGGCTTTTCCACCATCCTGGGATGCTTTCTGGGACCCACTATCCTAGAGCACTTCCAGGCAGCCTGGTGAACCCAGACCCACTCAAAGCATCACTCTAGAGAGATGTAAAAAAGCTGATTGTGCAGCAGGCCACCCTGGCTTGCACCGTGTGTTACGTACCAGCGTGTACCAGCCCCTCTTTCTGCTCACTGCAGACCCTCTTCTTCTGACCGGCATCTTATTCCCGTGGCCTTTGTGTCTGAGAAATGGTTTGAAATCTCCTGCTGACTGGCCGAAGCCTGTTTGACTTCTGGGGGCAGGGCAGACGCCAGCGGGCTGTTTCCTGGTACGTACCGCGCTCCCTGAGTCCATCCTGCATCCGTTCTGTGCCCCCACTGTGCCCATCATACCCTGCCTGGTGCCATCCCCCCATCTGCACTTCCTTCGGTGTGACTGGACATATTTCATGCCGTGGAAGGGGCATTGGGAGCCAAACAGCATTTCCAGGGAGGTTAATTGCAGACAGGCCCACACGAACAGGCAAGGACTGGAATGGACAAGGATTGAAAAGCAAAGGGTCTCTGGAGCAGCCTTGAACTTCAGCCTGATCCCATGGTTCCAGCCCACCTCTAAAACCTCAACAAGCCACAGTAATTTCCGTGCTGGGAAATGGTCTGATCTGTAATTAACCTTTGGTGGCATGATGGACAGTCTGCCTTGTCTGAGCACCACACGTCCAGCATGCCCGCTCCACCAGTATCTGAAAGCTCATTTGGTGATGTTTGCTGTCATTAACACTTCCATGCTCACTGCAAGGGTGCTGGGGTCCTCCTCCCCTCCTCCTCCTTCTTCTCCTCCTCCTCTTTCTCCTCCTCCTGCTGCTGCTCTGCAAAGCCAACCCTTCGAGCAGCCCCCAGCAGCCAGTCACACCTGGGGTGTTGCTGTAGCTGGACAAGTGCAGTGATGTTGTTCTGGTTGCAAGAGTACAATCTTTGGGGATTTTCTTCTCTTTTGTTGAGTTGGCCCAAGCCGTTTTCACCTCCTTGTGTCACTTTTGAAGGTGGCACAGCTGATAGCTGTGCCAGGAAAAGTCTGTCTGTGCCAGCTCGCCCTGGGCAGTGATGCCCACTCAAGCCACGTGCTCAGGTGAATTAATTGCTCTGTCCCAAGTCCCTGCTGTAATGAATCATGTATTCAGTATAAATGAAATTTCCAGCCTTCCCTGGCTGCAGCTCACTTGGAATAGCCTGTTTAACATTATGCACAGCTATTGAACACAGAAATATAATTAGATTAGAGTGGAAGCGAATAAAAAGTTAATGGTCTCAGCCAGGCTGGGGCTGGCGGTGTCTAGACAGGGCAGGTGAGGGGTGTGCCAGTGCAGTGGGGCAGAGAGCAGGGATTCATCTGGCATGGCCCCACTGCCCCCCAGAGCTTATTCTGTCTGCAGCAGCTTCAGTGGTGAAAGTGAAAGGCTCTCACTCCCCATCCACCAATATGCTCATGTTTTTTCTCTCACTCTTGTTGTGGCCACTGCCTCAGGGGACAGAGGGCAAAGGAACCCAGGCAGGAGCTGGTGCCAGGTGTGAGGGAAGAAGGAGAACGAGCATGGAGGATCTGCAGGGAACACCAGCCTCAGCAATAACCCACTGGGCCTTTTCCACCCTCAGTTGTGTAGTTTGGGATGTCTTTCCATTGGCTTAAAGTGAATTAAAAAGAAATAACACATAAAGCAAGCCAGCTACACTCGATGCCATCTACAGCTCTCCATGCCTCAGGTACAGGGAAGGAAGGAGCAGCTTGAAGCACTGTAGGAATCCTGTATGGATCCCACAGCTCCTGCCCCAGGTCCTGTGAAACCCTGGGCCAGAGACTCTGCCCTGGTCACCTCCATAGATTTCTTTAAATAGCCTGAAGCCATTCCATTACGCCTTATTAAATCCTTGAAATTCTCATTGACCCATTTTCATGGAATCCATAAAACGCACATTGGCGCGCTCTGGAAAAATCTATCCGGCTCGTACCTGGAGCATTAGCTCTGTAATGGCACTTCAATTACAGATGCAATTCTGGAAGCTGCTGTTTGGTTTCATTAACGATAACAAAATGAGATTGATCCCAAACCTGTTCTACCTGTTCTCTGTGTGTTTACTCTGCACAGGTGTGTTTGTACCAGGGTGTTTCTGGGACACACTTGCAGAAATGGTGTGTCCCAGTCGAAACCAGGTGCCGGTGGGAAATCCCTCAGGTGAAATGAGCATTCCAAGTTTCATGTGTCACTGTGTAAGGTGCAGATGGCATTGAGATGAGCTCCCTGCTAGGCTGTCCCTGCCACTGTGGTTGCCTTGTGCTGTCACCAGCTGCCAAGTGCCAGAGGAGCAGGGGGATGGAGGGAAGCAGAGGAGTGGAGGCATGGAGGATGCCTCTCCAGCTTTTGTTTCTAGGGGAGAGGCTGGTGAAAGAGATGCAGCTGCTTGGGCTGCTCTGCTTCCGGGGTAGTGAGTGTTTCCTGGCTGGCATCCACAGCCACAGCAAGGTCACCTGAAGGGGACAGTTGCTGTTGACCCACTGCACCACAGCAGAGGAGAGGGATGCTCTGGAGAATGTGCAGCTTTTTGTCTGGAGGGGTTACATGCAGCTTTCTCCTCACATCCCCTTTTTCCTAGTGTTTTACAAATTTTAATTGACAGCACTTCACAGCTCTGAGCTGTCTTGTTGGCACATTAGTGCTCCTGATGGTGTGGGCACAAGGCAGGTGGCATGTCCCAGGACAGGGATGGCAGGACAGAGGTGCTGCAGATGTTTTGTCAAGATGACCACTGGAAGCCCAGCTGGGATTTAATGTGAACTTCACATCTGACAGTCCATCAGCCTGGTGTGAAGTCTGTCCAGCTGGCACCCTGGCCTTGGGTGATGCAGACAGCATCATCAGGCTGGGCTGAGCAGGTTGAGGCAGCAGATATAAGGGACAGCACTGCAGAGCATCTCCAGCCCCAAGAGCTGCAGGCAGTGCCACTGTTGTGTCAGGAAACCTGGTGAAGCTCATCCAGGTACACGGGGAGCAGATGTTGAAGCTATTTCCTGGGGTCAGATTCCTCCTGTGCCAGCAGGAGCCACGGGGAGGGTTCCTGTGCTGCAGGCACAGTCCCCACCAGGACACTGTCCCTCCCCACAGCAGGTGATGCTGCCCATGGCAAACAGCTGGTGGAGCTTTCCAGCAGATTGCCTGTGCTGGCAGCCAGGCCCCACTGGAGCTCCTTGGTAGATGTCACACCTCAGTGGATGTCACATCTCAATAGCAGCTGCTGGCAGCTACTCCTGCAGGCAGAGAAGTCAGTCTGTCTGCAGCAGCCTGGTGTAGCAGCACAGCCTCAGAATGGCCCTGGGCTGGGTAGGTGAGGAGTGGAGCAGTCAGTGGAAGCTCTCAGGAGTTACCTGAAGGGAGGGATGAAAAAGAAAACTTCTCTTGACTGGTTCCAGTGGTGCTGGAGGAGCACCCAGACAGAGAGCAGGAGCACTGTCGTTCTGCAGACCAGCACAGGACGTGTGCCAAAGACTTGAGTGGCTTTGTCCAGGCACCACAGCACAGGGTGGCTGGTTTGGCTTGGTTTCATCCTGGCTTTGGGGCTTTCTAAAATGAAGTTTGAGATTCTGCATTATTCTTGTCCTTAATCCCACTCTCTTTGACTGAAAAACCCCATGGAATGAGATTATACAAAAATCTGTAAGGTTGATCAAGCGCTGACCTACTTTGCACAAAGAGGCTATTTGGGATACAATACCAATTGTACACCCTGCCATGGTGCATTAACCAGTGCTCACCCAGAGCCACGGCACAGTGGCACCGCTGGCAGGGAGGGGCACTTCGGGGCCCAGCAGCTGTGCTGGTTTGGTGACACCAGCCTGACCCTGCCCTGGCACAGGGCACTGAGAGCTGACAGCGTTGTGTGGTAATGCCGTGCTCGAACACGGCAGCAGCTGCTGTGCTGGCCCCGTTCTGCCTAACAACAGCAAATGGTTTGTGTTAACATTAACAGATAATGAGTCATCATAAAAGATCCCGGCTTGTCTTCGGAGGAGTAGCAGCAGTCCCAGCACAGCCCCAGCACAAGAGATTAAGGACTCTGGAAAATCTGTCTTGCTAATTAAGACTTCAGGGTTGTTCTTGGAGATGGTGTATTGGGCATTTTGCTTAAAAATAGAGGGTTTTTTAGAGAAAGAACGCTGGGACAAAAAGCACACCATGTTCTGGATGCTGATCCCAGCCAGGCAGAGGGCACAGATTAGGGATGTGTGGATTAGGAATGCACTGCTGTACAGGGTGTAGGTATACCTGCTGTCAGCTGTCTTTGGCACACTCAGCTGTGCTACAGCTCATGAAATGTCACGGATATGTAGAGCAAGAAGCCACACGCCACTTGATGGGGAGTGATTGTCTTCACATTGAGGATCCAAGATTGCATAGGGAGACATCTTCCAGTAGATGGTAAATAAATAGCTTAAGGACTTTGATAGGATCTCTGGTTTGGTGCTTAACCAATTCCCTATTGATTCTTTAGATTTAACTTCAGAAAATCTTATTAGTGCTTGTCATCATCTGCTTGTCTGCCAGAGTACTCACTTCTCAAAGGCCCGAGTGCGAGAAGCTGCAGAATGCAGGGATGATTTGGAGTAAATCCCACTCTGGAAAAGGCCCCAAGGAGAGAGAAATAGGGTCCTCCCAATCTGCAGCACAGACCAGCAGCTGTGGAGAAGGAGGAGGAGGTCACTGATACCCTGCTCCCTCCATGCTCTGCTCCCCCAGGTATCCCACAGCTCCACAGCCAGGGGGGAAGAGGAGGAAACCTCCAGGCTGTGGGGGATCATCCAAACAATGATGCAAGACATGGTGCAAATTCCTTGTCATGACTTAATTTTTCTTTTTCTTCTCGTCCTCAACAGGATTCCATTGGTGAACCTGTAAAAATATAAAAAAATAATGGGTTACCTGTACCTACCATTTCTGTTTACCAGTAGGAGACTCAAAGAGCAGCGTTCTATGGGCCAAATATATTTTTATAAAAATGAACACGCCTATAGGTAACTGCGTTGTCGAGGAGCACGTTTTTTTGGGGGAGGAGAGAAAGGAAAGTGTGAGAACAAAGAATCCCGTGGAGGAGGAGGAACCAGCAAGGGATGGAAAGGGAAGGATGAGCGCCTGGAGCCCGGCCATGGACGGTGACTCTGAACCTGTGCCAATAATACCATTATGTGCCATGAACCGATGCAAAGACTTTGCAAAGAGCCGAGTCAGTAACGCCTGGAAATGTTGTGGAGGACGAGTGGGGCATCTCTTCTGGTGGGGTCATCCATTCCGGTCCATACCCCTACATACATACGGTATATGTAGAGAGAAAATATATATATATATATATACACACACAAACTCTTTTTGTACTGTAGCAATTTTTGAAGATCTTAAATACTCATTTTTAAAGAAGATGTCATGGGCTAATAGTCTCATTTCTTTAACACGCATCATGCAAACTGGGTGATCTGATGTTTTCTACTTTGGCAGCTTGCCTGTCAACCTATATGTGTATATATAGGTAGACATATATACTTATATATACGTGTGTGTGTGTATGTATAGGCATATATATGTATGTATACATATATATATATATAATTTTGGTTCTTTTTGGAAATGCTTTTCCAGCGTTGCGACGTGACTGTGGTGGGACATGGCCAGGGCTGTGCTGCCGGCAGGAAGCAGAGGAGAAGCTTCCCAAAACCATCCAGAGCACAGCTCAAGGCAGTGCTGAAGGTATTTCCAGGCTTCTGTATCCCAATACATCACCAAGATCAATGGGAAGAAGCCAGAAATCCTGGGCCTGCCGTGTCCACAGAGCTGCAGTCTCCACCGTGCTAGGCATGACACCTCGGGGCTGGACAGGGCAGATTTTTGGGGTGGACTTCCAAAAGATGGGCCTCTCTTGGCACAGAAGAAAAATTTTAGGAGTGAGGTGTGGGAAGGTTTTTTGAAAATGGCTTTTAAATTGGCCACAGCACCAAAGCTTACTCAGCCCTGTGTGAGAAACAAGAAGGAGCTCATTGCCTCCTGCCCCAGCCTGGGGCTGTGGGATTGAGAGAGCCTCTTCCTTTGTTCTCCTGGTCTTGGCTGGCTCTGCTGCAGCAGGAGAAGACACAGTCAGCTGTCCACAACCCTGGAGATCTCTTAATAGTGTTTAAAGGGAATTTTTGCCCGGGAAGAATGATTCTGCAGGCTGCGGTTTGGTGTGTTGCTCTAGAAACATGTCCACGCCTGTCCAGCTCCTGCTGGGGTGGGTGGTGTTCGTGGGTGCTGACCCTAAACCCTCTGTCCAAGTCTTTCCATGGAGTTGGGTGCTTGCCATGCTGTGCTGCACATCAGACACTGGGATGGGTCTCGCTCGGGTCCCTTCAATGTTAAATGGGTGGAAACGACAGCAGAGATCAGACCAAAGTCCTCCAGTTCTTTTTGTAAACTGCCCTTGGTAAATACTAGTGGTTTTTTAGAATTGTCCAGATCCACGTTTCTACTCCCCCACTGATTACTCAGCTCCTTTTCTTTATGAAAAAGAACATGCAGTTTAAAAACAAACAAAAAAAACCGTAGAACCCTGTGGTGTTGGCATAGCCACGCGTGCGGTCTCTTGTTCCTGTGTCCTTTTCTGTCCTTTTCCCATGGAATTGCACAGTCTGGATTATTTGTCCTGAATTTTTGGACGCTGCCTCAGACAGAAGTCTTCCTTGCCAGCCCTGACAATTACCTGCGGCCTGGAGCCAACCATCCCCTGGGCAGAGCACTATCTCCTGGGTGGCTCATGTCCGGCTCTCCAGAGCATTGGATGCCTCCAGGGAGGAGAGGAGACAGTGTCTTGCTACAGCAGTGGCCCCCAAAGCTTTAGCTGTCCCTGCAAGACGTGGGGACTGTCTGTCCTTGGGAAGCATGAAGTCTGAGCAACTGCTCCAAGGTCATCTCAGTGTCCTGGGGCTTTTCTGTGATGGTGGTGTCAGTGGTGCAGCCCCTGCCCACAGGCTATTCTCCCTTTGTGACTTCATGGGAATCCATCTGCACCGGCTTTGAGCCATGTTTCTTGTGCTTCTCCCCTTAATCTTCCTATTTATTTCACTCCCACAGGTATTCCAGTGTAATCGCAGTAGCAGTATGACAAGAAATCTATCTCAGCTCCCTCATTGCAGGGCATCTGAAGCAGCATTCTGTGTTTCTGCATGGATGGAACCTGCTGCCCACAGGGAAGTTGTCAGGCAGAGCTGGGAGATGCCAGGGCAGCACGGGCAGCACTGGTGCAAGCGATGGTGATGATGGCAGTGGTGATGGAGAGGCACCTGGCTCACAGGAAATTCCCTGTGGAGCTGGGGAAGAGGAGGGGAAAGAGTGTGTGTATGTGTGTGTGCGAGAGAGAGAGAGAGAAGGAAGGTGAATCACTGCAACCCCCAGGATGGGCACAGGTTTCAGAGGGCAGGACTTGAATGAGCTTCCCCTCCAGTCTGCAGCAGGACATGTCCTGGTCTCCCCGGAGCTGAGCGGTGAACCAGGGAACAAAAGTAGATGCACAATCTTCCCTTATTTATAAGGACCAACAGCACTTGCACTTTATCAGAGGAAGCCTCCCCCCATCCATGCTGGGCCACTGTGGTGGAGGGAGAGGAGGAGGAGGAGGAGGAAGGGCTGGGATGGAGCCACTGATGCAGTGATGTATGAGGCAGGATCCAGGCATCCTAAGGTCTTGCACAGTGAAGAGAAATGAGCTGTGGTGATTTCATTCCCTCCTATTGATGAAAGCCAAAAAAAAAAAAAGAAATAAAAATAGAAAGTCGCATTTCCATGGCATAGTCTATTGAGTAGATCTTCCCTCCATGGAAAAGCAGGGAAGCGTGGTGTTCTCAGACACGCTCCCGTGGGAGCTCTGTCATGTTTTGGGCACATCATCTCACCCCGAGGTCTTGGAAGGTTGAAAAAAGAAAAGTTTTGCTCATTGCTTTGCTGTAAGCCCTCAGCCCACTGCTGCTTGTTTCTTTTCGGTTCATTTTCCAGATTGCTTAGCCCCTGAATAGTCCCTGAGAAACACACCATGGCAGCCAAGAGTCTGCCACATTCCCCAGACATGTCATGGAGTGTCTGTGCGTCACTTGTGGCTCTGTCTTGGAAACAGTGATGTGGGACAAGCCACCCATGGCAAGGAGAGGTTGGCTCTCCTTGGGCTCTGCAGCAAGCCCAGGCTTCCCAGGGCCATCCAGGATTCTCCTCCCTCCACATTCCCTGCAAACCCTGAGCAGGAGCCGCAGGATGTGCCGCTCCCACCGGGCCAGGGAGTCAGTGCCACTGCTGCCACCGGCACCGGTGGGCTTTATCCTGCACCAAACTGAGCTGGTTTGGGGCTCCAGGTGGGAGCTCCCATGTCATGGCACCAACAGGTAGGGTGGGCAGGGTTTGGTCCTCAATCCCCTGACCTTTGAAAGCCGGGGTTCCCCCCAAGGGCGGCTTCACCCCACAGCAGCCCAGGCAGAGCCGGTCCTGGGCAGCCGCCCCTGTCTCCAGATCCGATCGTTTACCTTCACTCTGTCTTCCCAGCTGGAGAAAGGGCGGCCGGTGGTGGTGGTGTCAGGAGCCGTGCTCCAGAGAACACCAGTGCTCCATGGGGCACCAGTGCTCCGTGGGGTCGAGGGCACCGAGCCTGCCAGGAGGTCACTGCAGCGATGGCAGATTTCAGGTTACCTCTTCTCCACTGGCAGCTTGTTGCGAAAGGAAGGTAGTTCAGCTGAAACGGTAGTAAAATAGTAGATATTCTACACATAATATATATTTTGTAAAAAAAAAAATTAAAAAAAAAAATAAAATAGAACAAAAATATATCTATCCTATCTCAGCCCACCCATTTCAGGATGAATGTGGTTGGAATTTTCGTTCAACCGGATATTAAATCTGTATGCGATTTTTTCAAAACCAGCAAGAAATCCCTTGCCATTTCCAAGTCTGTGGGTTTGGTCTCCCGAGCTCATCTAACGCTTCTCACACATTTTTAAGAATTACTCTCAGCATTTGTAGGTACATTTTTAATAGTGTCACGAGTGGAAATAATATTTACTTTGAAAAAAGTATATGTTGCACAAAAATGTACACTAAGGGCACAGATTTCTGACCCAGATTCTTCTATTTTAGGTTCCAAGGGGTTTATTTTTTTGTTTGATAGGACATGTACAGTGAAGTTTACACTTTATTTTTATTTTGCCAAAACCCGTTTTTCTAACATGAGACAGTTTTACTTTGTAACCGGTTTTACATCACTGAGTACTTCTTTATTTTCCTGGGGAAATCCTGCACCAGGAGGCATCCGGTGAAAGCGCCGTCACCTTTTGGCATTGTGGCTGCCCCACCCGCCCACAGTGCGAGCCGGGGCGGTGCCAAAAGGACCTTTTCTTCCCGAGCGGTTTTTAATTTGTCTCTGTCCGTGGAAGCCGTGTATTTGGAAGCACTGTAAATGCCACCCTATCCCCTTGCCCTCTGTATATTTAGTACTCTGATGTTGCTATTAAAACTGATATGAGAACCGCGCAGCTGGTGGTGACTGGGTTCCTCCGTGCACAGTCTCTGGGGAGGGGATGGGGTTGGTTTGGTGTCCAGGAGGATCCGTGTCTCAGCAAGGAGTCCAGAGGCTTCACTGGGGAAATCCCACTGTTTCCAGCTGTGCACACCTCGGGTGAGCAGCAAGGAAATAGCCCTGCCTTTGTCCTGGGAAGAGGGTCTTGTGCATCCCCTTGGTGTCCCCGCCACAGCAGCACTACCTCCACACCCTTGGCACAACAGGAGGGTCACCCAATGTCCCCCCAGGCTTTGAGGGGACCCCATGTACCTTGAGGCAGCTGCTTGGAAGAAGGAAGCCATTAAATAGGACTGTTGGGGAGTTAATTAAACATCACTAATGATGCCTTAAACAAACAGCTCTGCTCTGAAATCATTTCACCCAGCTACATCTTTTACCCAAGGAGGAGTCCTGGCCATGAGCAGGTCCCTGGTAAGTGGTGCCTTTGGTTTGCACACTGGGTGTGGAGTGGGTGACAATTAGTCACACTCAGGCCAGCCCTGCTGCTGTGCTGCTCAACAGATGGATGGATAAATGGATGTGGGGACTGGGCAGCACAAGGAGGGCCCTTGCAAGGCAGCAAGCATAGCCCCCCTTGGACCCAGAGCATCCCCCTTCCCCAGGAAACTGTGGGGGCTGTCATCCTCACAATGCCATCTGACCAGGAAAGGGCGAAAAGCCTTCATTGGTGTCCATGTTGGCTTTCAAGAGGGGTGGCCTGGGAAGACAGAGACCAGCACAGCACCTGCCACTTGCATTCCCAGGCTGTGGCAGCAGCCTTCCTGCAGTGCCAGGACCCTCCACAACTCTCCGTGCCAGGTCAGCACTAAACCAAGACCAGAGATGATGCCCAGC